CTGAGGCTGACCTCAAACTTGCAATCCTCCTGCCTCAGCCTCCTGAGTCCCTGGGATCACAGGCATGCATCACCACACCCAGCAGAATCCTTGATCTTAACCACTGCAACTGTGACCCAGGTGACTGTGGTGCTGGTTAAAAGCAAGGGCTCAGGGGAGCGGGTGTGACAGAGGGAGAGTATGTTATTAGCACAGATTAGGCCCTGGGTTCCATCCCTAAAATCAGAAGAAAAAAGAAAGGGCTCTGGCATTAGGCAGCCCCACTTCTACCACTTGTCATTGTCCCCTCACTTCTCTGCTGCTGGCTCCTCATCTGAAGAATATGGATATCCCACCAGACCAATCTCACTGGGTTTATGAAGATTAAATGAAGGAAGTTGCAGGACATTCCTATGTGCCCAGCGTTAACACTGCGACCTGTTTATTGCTGTGGCTTCACGGGGGTGAGTGGCAGCAGGGTTATGAAGGATGTTTAGAAGTTCTCAGCGACTAACCTGCAGTGTTCTTGCTTTGGAGGGGGACACTTGGTCCCAACACCTGGGCCCTTTATTTCAAGCAGTGGCAATCATCAGCCTCGGCAGGTCCAGGGCAGTTAAACCAGAAGAACTAGGGAGAAGCAGGGCACAACTGCTACTTGGGAGACTGAGGCAGGAGGATGGCGCATTTGAGGCCAGCCTTGGCCACTTAGCAGGACCATGCCTCAAAATAAAAATGAGGGTTGGAGTTGTCACTCTGTAGAAGATTGCCCTGTGTAAAGTCCCTAGTCACACTCACACTCACACACACACACACACACACACACACACACACAGTGGAAGGTGGTATCGCAAGAGGCCGTCATACTGGGCTTGTCCTAGCTCTTGATGAGTCATTCAGGCTCCTCAGATGTAGTGTGGGAGCCCCGAGTCGCCAGCAGGCTGGTCAGATGCGTGACCTCTGCTGAAACGGAGCACACAGCAGTGGTGACTGACGCCGCTGCCGTCCAGCTTCTGCTTGGGCCTCTGGGGCTCCATCTCCACAACCTTGCAGCCCCATCTGCCTTCAGGAGGCTTTACTGTTGTTATTTTGGGTGCAGGGTGCTTGGCCACTGAACCCCATCTTTACCCAGAGGTGCTTGGCCACTGAACCCCATCTCCAGTCCTTTTTACTTTTTATTTTGAGGTAGGGTCTCACTAAGTTGCTGAGGCTGRCCTTGAACTTGCAGTYCTCCTGCCTCAGTCCTGGGGGTGAAACCCGTAGCCTAGAGCGTGCAGGTCAGGTGCTGTACTACTTAGCTGTACCCCCGCTGAGGACTTGTTGTTTTATTCTAAGAAAGTGGGATGGAAGGGAAGAAGAGGGGGTTCTAACCTGACTCCAGGCTTCACAGGCTGAGTGTGGGGACCAGCTTAGGACAGGTGGGAACGGGGGACCAGGAGCAGAGTGAGAGAGGATGGCTGGGGGGGCAGAAGTCAAACTCAGGATTATCTTGAATGGGAGCCATAATATCWGCTCCATCTGGGTCTTGCCTTCCGAGGCAAGATCACCACCATTGACTCAATTTTGCCATACACCTTGAGTCCGTGCCCACCTGGGATAAGAGGGAAATGAGTCTTCTGGAGCCAGCTCTGTGGTCCCAGGGGTTGAACTCAGGGATGCTTAACCACTGAACCACGTCCCAGCCTTCCCCTTTTAAAAATTTTGAGACAGGGTCTCACTGAGTTGCTTGGGCCTCATTTGGTTGCTGAGGTTGGCCGGGAACTTGGTGATCCTCCTGCCTCAGCCTCCTGAGTCACTGGGATTACAGGCGTGTGCCACTGCACACAACCAAATCCTCAGTTCTGCTCACAAGCTGGTGGGACTTTAGGTGAGTGTGCCACCTCTCTGTGCCTCAGTTTACCCACTAGCAAACTGGGTGCGTCCTAGGGTCCACCTCACTGGGTGGCTGAGCAGACTCAGCAGTGCCTTGGTGGCAGTCTTTGTTCAGCTCACGCTCAAGGCCATCCCCTGGGAGTCTGTGGGACTTGCCTTCTGTACTGTGCTGATGTGGGGGTTCCCACCCATGGTGGGTGGGTCCTGGTGGGCTGGGCGAGCCTCCGCCTGCCTCCTCTTCAGGTATCGACCTCATGGACATGGCTTCAGACCTCCTGCAGCCCGAAGGGGACGATGTGGCCCGCATCAGCTGGTACCTGCGTGACCTCATCAGCAGATACCAAGAAACCTTCAGTGTCATTGAGAAGGTGACTCAGGGGGCTGGAGGGCATCCTCTGTGGCCTCTCTCTGTGGCCCACCCTGACCCTGACCCTCCCATTCCCTTCCAGTGCCCCAAGCCCGTGATCGCTGCCATCCACGGGAACTGTATCGGAGCAGGTGAGCCTGGGCCTCCTGCCGCTACCCGCTGCCAGGGTGCCCACGCTGGCTGGCTCGTGCCCTTCCACCTGGGCCAGTGGCCCCCAGACACAACCAGTACCCTTAGACTTGGCCCCCAGATGCCACCCCAGGTCCCGCAGGGTGATGTTCAGCTTCCCTGCCCCCCGCAGGTGTGGACCTCATCACCGCCTGTGACATCCGCTACTGTGCCCAGGACGCTGTATTCCAGGTGAAGGTGAGTTACCCCTAAGCTCCTGCCTCCGGGGTCCTGCACACCACTGGGCAGTGAGCCGGAGCAGAGCAGGGCCAGGGTGGGCCAGGGAGCCTGCCCTCGGGCCTCCGGGAAGAGGGTCAGAACTGAACCTTCAGAAGGGAGGCTGGGCCATAAGGAAGCCAGGGGCAGGCGGTCCCGGTGAGGTCAGGAGCCGGGGAGGTGGGGTGTGGGGACGAGGTGACCCAGGCCGGAGGCTGGGGTCACTGCTGAGGGCCTGCAGGAGAGGGTGGGGGGCAGGATGGAGACCCTTGATATGGTAAAGGTGTCAGGAAGGGCGTAGCTCTGGAGAAAGATGTGGCAAAGGGAAGACCTGGAGGGCAGGGATCAGGGCACCTGCCTGGGTGTGCGTGTGGCAGGGGAGCCCCTGATGGCGGTGTCCTGGGGGCACCCCTGGCAGAATAACCCTGACACCTCTGTGCCCCCCAGGAAGTGGACGTGGGCTTGGCTGCCGATGTGGGGACACTACAGCGACTGCCCAAGATCATCGGGAACCAGAGGTGGGTGCGGTGAGGGGACCCCGGGAGGGGACCACAGGGCATCTCCCAGATGACAGCCGTCTCTGACCCACGCTTCCCTCTTGCAGCCTGGTCAACGAACTGGCCTTCACCTGCCGCAAGATGATGGCCGACGAGGCCCTGAGCAGTGGGCTGGTCAGGTGGGTGCGGGAGCGCCAGGCTGGGGCTGTGTGTCCTCAGCAGGATTTTTTCCTTTGGGGGCCAGCACCCTCCTGTCCTCGGGCCCTTTTACTGGGGTCCTCTGTGAGCGGCCACACCCCATCCGCCCTTCCCCAGTTGCCTGTCCCGACCCCTCTTGTCCCTTCGTCGCAGCCGCGTGTTCCCGGACAAAGAGCTCATGTTGGACTCGGCCTTGGCCCTGGCGGCCGAGATTGCCAGCAAGAGCCCGGTGGCCGTGCAGAGCACCAAGATCAACCTGCTCTACTCCCGCGACCACCCAGTGGCCGAGGGCCTCAAGTACATGGTAAGGCTCAGGCAGCCGGTGGGGCTCGGGCTGCGGGTGCCTGTCCTCTGATTGGTGCGCGCTAGCTCGCCTGTGCTCTGATTGGTGCGCTCTAGCTCACCTGTGCTCTGATTGGTGCGCGCGAGCCTCGCCTGTGCTCTGATTGGTGGCCCTCTCTGTGCAGGCGACCTGGAACATGAGCATGCTGCAAACCCAGGACATCGTCAAGTCGGTGCAGGCCATGATGGAGAAGAAGGACGCGAAAAGTGTCACCTTCTCCAAACTCTGAGAGCCCTCGGGTCCCCAGCCGGCGGCGCCTGGGGTCCGGCTTCCCTTTGCATAGCGGATGGGAGACGGTCTCCGAGTGTCCCTCAGTGTATTGCCTGTGACACCGATTTCAAGCCCAGGGCCTTCTCTTCACTCTTTGGACAATAAAACATTATAAAGAACCTGTGTCTTGGGGCTGGGGATGTGGCTCAAGCGGTGGCGCGCTCGCCTGGCATGCGTGCGGCCCGGGTTCGATCCTCAGCACCACATAC